ACCTCCCTCTCCCTCCCCTCGGCCCCCCACGCCCCACCCCCCGGCGTCATCACCACAATCCGATCCCCCGCCCCCATCTCCACGCTATTCTTCCCCCCCAAACTAACCCTCACCCCATCCCCCCTCCTCACCCACAGATTCACCCCGCACGCCCCGTCCCCGCCGCCCTCCATCCCATACGGCCTGTACACGCGCCTCTCACTCAAAATCGACACCTGCACCGCCCTCCGAAACTCAATGTCCCTTACCACCCCGTCCCCGCCGCGGTGCTGCCCCTTGCCCCCCGATCCCTTGCGGATGCTAAACTCCCGCAGGAGGATGGGGTACCGGCGCTCAAAGACCTCGGCGTCCGTGATGCGCGTGTTGGTCATGTGCGTGTGCACCCCGTCGGTGCCCTCCCACGTGGCGCCGGCGCCGCTGCCGCCCGCGATGGTTTCGTAGTAGCCGAACCCCTTGACCGCTTCCGTGCCGGCTACGTTGCCGCCGAAGCCAAAGGTCAGGTTGTTGCAGTCGCCCTGGCTGGCGGCGCACGCGCGAAAGGCCTTGAAGATGACGTCGGTGACGCGCTGCGAGGTGAGGACGTTGCCGCCGACCACGGCGGCGCCCGGGGACGGGTCGAGGAGGGAGGCCGGCGGGATGATGACGGTGATGGGGGCGAGGCAGCCTTGGTTGAGGGGGATGTCGTCCGAGATGAGGCAGCGCAGGGCGTAGATGATGGCCGAGTGGGTGATGGCGCGGGGGGCGTTGGTGTTGGCGTGGACTTGGGGGCCGGTGCCGGTGAAGTCGAACGTGGCGGTGCCGGCGGCGGGGGAGATGGTGATGGTCAAGTGGATGGGGGTGCCGTCGTCCATGTGGTCGACGGCGACGAGGGGGGTGGGGTGGGATTTGGCGATGGTGCGGAGGAGGGTGCGGACCTGGTGCGCGGCGTTGAGCTGGATCTGCGTCATGTAGAACTGGACTGTGGGCTGGGAGTATTCTGAGATGAGGGCCGAGATGAGGGAGATGCCCTTTTGGTTGGCCGAGACTTGGGCGCGGAGGTCGTTGATGTTGTCGGCGAGGCAGCGGGTGCCGGAGCAGCCGGGGTACTTGGCGGGTTCGTGGTAAAAGAGGTCGATGACGCGCTGCTCGTCGAATTTGCCCTCGCTGACGAGCTTTTCGGATTTGATCGAGGTGCCCTCTTGGTAGAGCTCCTTGGAGTGCGGGGGCATGCTGCCGGCCGTGATGCCGCCAATGTCGGCGTGGTGGGCGCGCGAGGCGGCGTAGAAGAGGATGTTCTCGCCGGCTTCGTCAAAGGCGGGCATGATGAGGGTGATGTCGGGAAGATGGGTGCCGCCGTACGAGGGGTGGTTGGACATGATGACATCGCCGGGTTTCAGTTTGCCCTCCCAGATCTCGGCCTGGCGGCGGACGCAGGTTGACATGGAGCCTGCGTTGTTAGTTTTTGCTGCCCCTGAAGAGTGTGGGACATACCAAGATGGACTGGAAGATGCGGCGCGTTGGCCACCAAGCCACCCTGGGAGTCAAAGATGGCACACGAAAAGTCCAGCCGTTCCTTGACGTTGGTGCTGACGCTCGTCTTTTGCAGCGCTCTGCCCATCTGCTCGGCGATGGCCATGAACCGATGGCCAAAGATGCTGAGCATGATGGGGTCAACCTCTCGCTCCTCCTCGGTGTTGTCTGACCTAGAATCTGTTAGCAAAGTCAAAAAGGAGAGGTTAACGGACAGTCGTACTTATCCTTCTCCCCGCCCCCTTTAATGTCAATAACAACATGTGTCTCCAACACCAACGCCGTCGACCCAGGCGTGACGACAATCGTCTGCGTCCCATCAGCCAGCATCGCCGGGCCATGAACCTCCGTCCCAATCGCCAGATCCCCCAACTTGTAGATGGGCGTCTCCAGCCGACCTTCGCCAAAGTACACCTTGGCCGACGAGTGGCTCTTCTCCGCCTCCACCTGCCGCCGTTCCAGCGTCTTGAGCTGATCATCCACGCTCTTCTGCTCATACTGAAAGCTCTTGCCAATCCCTCGCACCCGCACATCATCAACAATGACATCCCTCTCATCCAACGTAAACCCAAACTCATACCGATGGTGCTTGACAAACGCCGTCGCAAAGTCCCACCCCTCCTCCGGCTTGATAATCATCAACGCCGACTCCGTCCCGCGGTAGCGCATATTCAAATACTCCTCAAACACAATCTCCTCATCCTCAAACCCCTGCTCCCTCAACGCCTGCCTCGACTTCTCCTTCAGTCCCTCCATCTTCCGCTTCAGCCCCTCCACAACCTCGCCCTCACCCGTCCACACGCTCGAGTCCGGCTCCTGCCGCTCATCCACGACATCCGCCAGCGCCATGCCATACGCCGAGAGCACCGATGAGTACCGGTGAATCAAGATCTGCTTGATCCCCAGCGACTCGGCAATCGCCACGGCGTGCTGCCCGCCCGCTCCACCAAACGTCGCCAGGCGGTGCTTGGACGAGTCGTGGCCCTTGGCCTCGGTGATGCTGCGGATCGGGCGCGTCATGGTCTCGTTGGCCACCGTCAGGAACCCAAACGCCACCTCGTCGACGCCCATGTCCTTGCCCGTCTCGCGGTTGATCTGGTCCGTCAGCTCACGCAGCACGCGCTCGCTGGCCTCGGGATCGAGGCCCTCGTCCTCGTTCTTGCCAAAGATCTTGGGGAAGAACTCTGGGAGCAGTCGGCCGAGGTAGAGGTTTGCGTCCGTGACGGTCGCGGGGCCTCCTTTTCGGTAGCACGCCGGACCGGGGTGAGCGCCTGCTGAGTCGGGGCCCACAACGAACAGCCCGTTCTTGAAGAAGAGCATCGACCCGCCGCCGGCCGCGACCGTGTTGATGTCCAGCTGGGGAGACTGGATCGTCACGCCGGCCGTGGTGGTCTCGAACGTGTGGTCGTAGCGGCCCTCGCCGTAGCGCGAGACATCGGTGCTGGTGCCGCCCATGTCGAAGCCGATGACGGGGATCTTGGTCTTGTCGTCGTACGAGGTGATGGCGTAGCCCACCACGCCGCCTGCCGGGCCGGAGAGGATGGCCTTGAGGCCGGTGAACTTTTCCACGTCGACGAGCCCGCCGTCGCTTTGCATGAACTCGCATCGGGTGCCGCGGGTGCCAGCGTCTTTGACGTTCTTGGACCCGAGCCCGCCTTCAAACCCGGCTTGGAAGCCAGAGACGTACCGCTTGATAGCCGGAGTGAGGTAGGCGTCCGCGCAGACTGAGGTGGCGCGCGAGACCAGCTTGATCATGGGCATCAGCTCGTGGCTGAGGGAGATGTGCTCGAACCCAATCTCCCGCGCGACCTCGCCCACCAGCGCCTCGTGGTCGGGAAAGGTGTACGCATGCATCAGACACACGGCGATACTCCTGATTCCGGTGTCGTACACGCGCTGCAGGTCCGCACGGATGGCATCCCTCGTCGGCCTCTGCAGGATGCGCACCGCCTCGCCCGACAGTCCCATGACGAGGTCCGCCGTCTCGGCCGCGACCGTCCCAGCCTTGACTTGCACGCGGGTGAGGTGGCGCTCGGGATCCTCGGCATAGTCCTCGAGGGTGACGCGCTCGTCAACCTCGACGACGTCCGAGTAGAGGACGTCGGGCTTGCGGATGGCGAGGTCAAAGATGCGCGGACGCGACTGGTTGCCGATGACGAGGCAGTCCCGGAAGCCCTTGGTGACGGCCATGGCGATAGGCTCGCCCTTGCGCTCGAGGAGGGCGTTGGTGGCGACGGTGGTGCCCATGCGGATGGACTCGATGTTGGCCGTGTTGAGGGGCTGGCCGCGGGGGATTTCATGACCGGTGAAGTGGGAGAGGACACGGCGGATGGCTTCGAGGGGGGCGTCGGCGTAGTTGGAGGGGTCTTCGGAGAGGAGCTTGATCACGACGTCCTCGCCGCGGTAGTTGCCGACGCAGTCGGTAAAGGTGCCGCCGCGGTCGATGGCGATGCGGATGCCGCGGTCTTTGTGTGGTGGGGGAGTGGTCATGTTTGAGGTGGGAGGTGATTGACCTGGGTGGGTGATGGGGGTTGATGGTGGTGTGAGTCTCGATCAAGTCTATCTTGTCAAGTGAGATGTATAACTGGATGCTCCAAGTTCTTGATGCAGAGGTGATGCAGGTGATGAAAAAGGGGTCTAAAAGGGGGGGATGCCTTGGAAGAAAAGAGGAAAGGGATGGACAGTGTGCAAACGGGATCCCGCTGATTTTGTTTTGAAGAATGGCAGGATCGTTTGCCAGGTCCAGGTCCATCATATATCCGGTCGTTCCTGTCGTCATTCAAACTTTATAGGAGGGCCGGCATCCACCGGCATAGGCCCCACCCACAGTGGGGGGAGGGGGACCGCGGGGAGAAGCCGAGCTACCCCACACGGTGGTCCATTCCTCGGGGATGAACGCCGATCTCCACCCTTATCGTCCCGCAATCGGACTCCGAACCCGGACTCGTCGGGGACATGAAAGTCGGCCGAAACAACATCACCTGCTGACCTTTCTCCACAAATCCCAGACTCGTGGGATTCCCCCTATTCCACAATTAAACCAGATGAAAACAATTCGGTATGTAAAGGCACGACATTCCCGGGCACCTATATCCCTTGATCTCGGCCAGTACGTCGATGTTGGACTGTCAACAAGGTTCACAGCAAATCTGTTTTGTCAGAATTCCTCTCGTCCCTCGAAATGATGTACCCAAAATCATTACGGGACGATGGTTTTCTTTGCTGGCTGTAAAGTCGATGTCGTCCATTCTGATCAGGGGGGCAGGGGGGGCTGCCGAGCTTCATCACTGCCAGTGCCCACGCTCCAAGGAAGAATGTACTCTCCCAAAACTATGAAATGAAAGAAAAACACCGAAATGATATACCCAAAATCATTACGGGACGATGTGCCTCCTTGCTGGCTGTAAAGTCGTCCATTCTGATATGTGGGGGCTGCCGGGGATCACGCCCTAAGGAAGAGTGTACACTCCTAGGAATTTGAAAAATACGAATGATGTGTAGCTCAGTTGGTAGAGCAGGCAAGCCCGCGGTTGGGTGCCAAAAAGTTGCACTTAGGTCCTGGTTCAAATGCAACCAACCAGGAACTGAAACACTTAAAGTGTGGTGCGTCTAGTCGGTCCTGGGTTCGATCCCCAGCACATCCAGCCCTTACTTTTGCTCCCCTGGCACTGATTAATGCTCCGTTCCATGGGAACCCCAGCCCTTGCTTTTGCTCCCCTGGCACTGATTGATGCCCCGTTCCATAGGAACCGTACCGACTGGAACATTAAATGCCATCTTAATTAATATAAATTGACAGGATGGGCAGCTTAGCTGGAGGAGCAGAGCAAACCTACACACATTGGAATAATACACCTGGGAACGACGGACCACTTGAGACCTGTGTCATTGAACCTGGAATGCCAGCCGGTTTCCCTGGGTTCGAATCCCAGCTTACATATTAATCAAATGCTTCATTTTTGTCCCTGTGGCACGGACACTCTATAGTACATATACAAAACCCGTCCGCATAGTTTTCAATAAGAAACTCCGGGGGTAGCTTAGCGGACAGAGCGTAGCGAACTTACATTTAGTTTGTTATCCTCTGTTATCCCCCTAACAAAAGCGAAACACACCTAAGATGCCGGTTCCTAACCCTGGGTTCGAGTCCCAGTTCTCCCAGCGCTTCCTTTTTGCTATCTAAAGCCGTATCTCCTGCAGGACATATGCAGAACCTGTCCCCATAGTTCCCAACAAGAAATCAGGGGGGGTAGCTCAGCGGACAGAGCGCAGCGAACCTGCATTTGGTCTGTTATCCTAAGAAAAGCGAAACGTACCTAGAATGCCGGCTCCTAAGGTCATGGGTTCGAATCCCATCTCTCCTAACACCTTCATTTTTGCCTGTCCCTTCCAGTCAAGTTCCAATGAGAGATATGACGGCGACAGGTTGCTTTTTGCCAGGACTTCCAGCACCCAAGTGTTGGCAGGCAGGACGAAGACGATAACTTTAATGAAGACTGTGTTATTGACACCTGGGACAGATCACATTATTGACACCTGGGACAGATCACATGCTGTGTAGTAGTGCGCTGAGGGGTTGGAGGGCTTCATCACTGAGGTGGTCCAGGGCACACAGCCACCTGATGCACGCCTTGGCCTTCATTCTCAGCACCCGCCCGACCCATCAAAACATGTTGCGATCGCTCTCTTAGCATTTCCTATGAAAGGTAACCCGAAAAGAAACAGAAACAGCCTTTCGGCAATGCCCGCTATGTCTGCCATCTGATGCATGTAAAGCCCGCTCCTTGTGTTCGTCAAGACAAAAGCAAAACCCAGCCCTCCGCCATCCATAGCTACAGAGCCCCGGCCTCGTCCTCCTCAAACACCGCAACAAAATAGCAGACCATCCTCGCCCATAGGCAGAGGTAGAAAACGTCGAGCCAAGTTGAGCCGACGAAATAAGCCCCCAACGCCCCCAAGAAAAGCATACCATTCACCATCCTTTTCTGGCGGAGCCGGCGCTTGTCGTGCACCACGAGAGACTGCTCTTGCTGCACCATGAGAGCCTGCTTCTCTCCCTGCTCGACACCCATCCTCACGAGAGACTGCTCTTGCTGCACCATGAGAGCCTGCTTCTCTCCCTCCTCGACACCCATCCTCCACGTAGCCAAGCGACGAAACCACTCATCAGTGGGGACCTTCTCCTCCTGCGACATGTGACCAGGCCAATCCTTGTTGACAAGGTCGGCGAGGGAGCGCTACTCGTCGCTCGTACCATTGGAATCCTCCGACACCTGCGCCCGGCGAGGTCCAAGCACACCGACCTCACGCTGTTCAAGGCGGCGGTTTCCACGCTGCACGAGGGAGCGCTACTCCTCGTCGTCCTCGTCGCTCGTGGCGTCGATGTTGGCCTTGCGAGCCTTCTCGCGCTTGACCGACTTCTTCTTCTTGGAAGACGTGGACTCGGCCGGAGGAGGGGACTCGGCCGTGAGGGTGGCGCCGCCGTCGGTCGACGCGGCGGGGGACGCGACGGGGTCGGCGACCGCGTGGCCAGCCTCGCGCAGGGTCTCGTTCAGCTGGGGGACGGCCTGGACGAGGGCGCGGTACTGGTCAAGAGTGAGGGAGATGCCCTGGCGGGGGTTAGTGGGGGACAAGGGGTGGGGTTGGGGGAAGGTGGGTGGGCAGTGGTTACCTTCTTGCCGGGCTTGTGATCACCGTTGAGCTCATAGTACTCGCGGATGTTAACCAAAAGCGTGTTTTTGTATGACGCGAAGCCGAGGCGTCGCTTATTGCCGAGCTGGCGGGGGGGGAAGTTAGCAGATGTTTTTTTTTTCGAACGGAGAATCGGAAAATTGGGAAGAAAAAAACTCACCTCCCAAAAGGCATTGCCCTCGGCGTCGGTATTCTTCTCCACGGTCTTGGCTGGAGCCGGAGCAGGCTTGCTGGGAGTGGCCTCCTTGGTCGAGGTCTTCTTGACCTTGACCTTCTTGGCGACCGGCGAGGCGACCTCCGCCTCGCTGTCCGACGCCTGACGCTTCTTATTCTTGGGCATGATGGCGAGAGTTGGTGTGATTTTTTGGGTGTTGTTCTGGATGAGTTGGGGTGGAAGGGGGGTGAATTGAATGTTGGTGGGTGAGTTGGTGGTGAGTAGAGTTGGAGGTGCGAGACGCGACTTCGATGGTGGTTCTGGGAGAGCTCGTGGTGGACAGCGCGAAAGCACGTGAAAGCTGAACTCTGTACCAAAAAGGTGGGTTGTTTTGCTCAGGTTGTCAAAGGGCGCTCGGGCCAGTCAAGAGGTTAAATACAGATGCCTGAAATACTATCGTTCCTGCCAGTCGTGAAGGGCTGAGCCAAGAGCAGGAACTGCCAATGTGCCCCACTTTGACAAGGGATGCGGCAGCAGGGTGTGATTGGCCCTTTGTTTGAGATGTTGGATCCACTTGTGAACCCGGAACAGTTCAGGGGCATGGAATTTGATGGGGGGCCTGACAGTTGGTGAGACCTTCCCCCATGTCCCCCTAAAATTATAGCTTGCGCGTCTGAACCTCCTCGACAGTTCTCAAGAATTGCCCATCTTTTGATCCCTCCACATCATTACCACGGCCATTCAACGTCGTGAGAAAACCTACCGACCCTACTTGACCAAGTTGCTTCGTCATCGCTCCCTCCCGACCTCGCTCAGCCACCCCCGAAGCTCCCGTCCCGACTCAAAGCCAGGCTGCGCCTGTCCCACGCCTCGAGGTGCCCCCCCTCTCGAACCAACCTGTCCTTCCGAGTACAAGATCGCATCCCATTGCCACTCGATGGTGTCCTGGCTGCCTTCTACCGAGGACAGACACTAGAGGATGCGCGGAGGAGGTGCACCACACCCGACAAGATGGAAGGACATGTCGAGCCCGAACCGGTTTCTTCGACCGCCACCACCTTGGTGAATAGCGACAACGCCCCAGAGATCGACGCGGAAGCCGACCAAGATGTCACGACAAAGGTCTTTGAGTTCCTCGCGACAGCCACGCCCGGCACCCTGGGCGGCATTGGCGTGGGCCTGGCCGCCGTCACCTACTTCATCCTGGGGCAGCTTGGGCTGCTCCTGATCGGCGCATTTGGGGGCATCGCCTTGTTCATACAATGGGAGCAGCGGCATGGTGAGGTGGGCCGCGTGGCCCGGGCCGAGAGGGGCCATGAGATTCTCGAGCGCCTCCTTGAGTTCAACAGGACTCTCGCCTCGGGGTCGCAAGAGGAGAGCGAGGGTACAAAGGCGCTGGCTGGACGGTCCGGGTTCGACGACTTCCGGCCCGAGACCCGGGATGCGCTGACGGAGCTCGTGGACGCTGTCGTCCGGGACTATGTGCGGTGGTGGTACTCGCCCATTGTCCCGACCGACAAGTTCTTCCCCATGGCTGCGCGCAAGACGCTCGTCAACTTTATCAGCAGCATCTCGACCCACCTGAGCAGGAAGCGACCGGCCGACGCCTTTCTTGACTTTTTGACCAACTCGTCCTCGATTGTGATTGTCTTTTTTGCCGAGCTCTCGGGCGTTTTCGAGGCCCTGCCCTCTGATTCGAACCTCTCCGCGGCCGATGCCATACACGACTATCTCGCATCCCATCCAGAGTCGAACCTGGCCAATCTGCTCAACTCGAGACAGCAGGCCGGAAAGTTCAGGATGGTGGCCGAAGACCTTTTGAGCTTCCTCGAGCGGTCGACCTACGACTGCGACCCGGCGAGGGTCTTTTTGCGCGAGATCCTGGCGGGCGTCATTCTCGAAACCACACTCCAGAAATGCTGCAAGCCTGAGTGGATCAACTCGTGGATCGTCTATCTTTTGGAAGCCGGAGAGCCAAATCTGAGCCATGCCATTGATGTGGGGATGCAGACTGGGCCAGGTGCCGAGATTGCCTTTGCTGATATCGATGGCAATGTGGGAAACATTGCTCTGACAAAGGGGAACAGGAACTCGTTTGATCAGGAGAAGGCGCGCAGGAAGGACACGCATATCCACAAGAAGCAGCTGAGCAAGGCCGACGAGGAGCTCGAGGCCATGGAGGAAATCAAGCGCCTCAACCAGATGATTGTGGACGAGGACGCGCGAAGATCAAAATCATCATTCGACGCCCCGGATTTGGCGTCTCCTGCATCTGAAAAGCAGGAACCCGAACACAAGAGGAGCGCGACCGAGGCTACGGTGGGATTGGCGAGGGAATTCAGGCAAACACCCGCGGAATCCGACATTCCCAACGTCGACACCCAAGTCTCGGCCCAAAGCGATTCGGCTAGCAGCCGGAACGACAACATTCCCACACCTCTGACGCCCCTCTCGACCCAGGGATCTGCCCGCCAGACCCCCTCGCCACCACGAAACAGTGTCTCCCAGTTCACAAGTTTCGACCAGATCGTGCCGCCTGCCCAAGATGGGGCTGATGATGTGGAGGAGCCGCCAAAGCCGCCTCCATTGACCCTCCATCAGGCCACCATCACCATCCTCGACGAGCCCGGGGGCCGCGTCAGGACCAAGCCCACCTGGGATTACTTGGTCCAGATTGAGCCTGCAACGACACACTACCCCGGGTGGATGATTGTCAGAAAGTACAGCGACTTTGAGCGCGTACACGAGGTATTGAGAAGGATCGCCACCATCTCTGGCGTGACGGCATTTGTAGAACATCACGCCGACTTGCCATCCTGGAAAAACCACACGAGAACCTCTCTCCGGGGCGAGCTGGAGCGCTATCTCCGAGACGCATGCTGGCATCAGAGTCTTGCGGAAAGCGAGGGAATGAAGCGCTTCCTCGAGAGAGACCAAGTTGGCAATGCCGCTGGCCCCAAGCTCGGCTTCCAGGCCATTGAGAAGCTCGGCAAGAACGTTTTCGACGTCCTGACCAGTGCTCCCATGGAGGGCTCCAAAGCCGTTGTCGGCGGCGTTACTGGCGTCCTGGGGAACATGGGCATCGGCCAACGCAAGCCCGCCGCGGCCCCCGCTTCCACGCCACCGGCACCACCGCCGTCCGCGCTCCAAGACGTCACCGCCGCAAGCCGCCTGTCCATCTCCAGCATCCCCCGAGCAGACAGCACCGTGTCCCTCAACGGCAGCCGCCGACCCCGCGACAGCATGGACAGCCAACGCTCCTCCGTCGTCGCCACCCAGCCCGGCAAGATCCCCCCGATGGACCGCCGCCCCAGCCACGACTCCCGCGGCGGCGGCGGCGACACCGACCCCGACAACGCCCTCCGCCGGTCCCGCGCCTCGGCCCAAAACAGCCGCGCCAACTCCCGCGCCTCCAGCCTCGCCCCCGCCGCCCGCTCCCCCTCGGCCCTCAGCATGAACATGGACAACCTCCGCCTCCCCCCACCCCCCGACGCCATCCCCGACGACTACGACAACCCC